GGAATATTATGTGGCTCCTGAGCAAATAAAACTATATTACATATTCCACAAAACAAATATATTTAACATTTTTAAAGTACATTTAAAGCCATTTATAAATTTATTTATACAACTAAATAAATAACTCACATATAAATAAAACATATATGGGAAACTGAGTCACTTTCTTGGAAGTTTTGGAAATGGTTATGTGATTCACAACGTATTTCTATAGCTTCTATTCAGAGACCATATTTTATTCAGATAAGATATAACTTTCTGAAAGGGTGTCACCATAGGAAGCTTCATTAATGGCCATTTTGTATAGCAGACAGAGCTATCAATCACCAAATTAGTACAGCATACTGATCCAATTTTGTTTTATGTTTGAAATATCCTAAAGTTCAGCTTGATTCCATAACAATGGCAATGCAACAGATAAGCAAGATGCCAAGTGACTGAAGGCTGACATAAACTTTCCTTAACTTACCGAAGTTTTCCATAATGTAGTTTTTCCAATGTATGCCCATTTTGCTTACATGAAAATCTACTTCTTACACAAAAGTTACATTCATGTGTGAAATAAGAATAACACAACATAAATACAAAGGACTTTGGAATCAGAGAATTGGAGGCAGTTTTCAACCCTATCAGAGTCAATCTGTGTGATTTTTAGTAAATCATTCGCTTTACTGTTTCTCAGTTTTCTCTTTGGTAAATTGATAGTATTAAACTTATTCAACCATATTCTTGTATAAATTACAAGTAATATATGCAAAACCAGTGTAAATAAGATTTCACACATATTATTTGAAAGCATATTTTGACATCTGCTCAGCTTAGTTTAATGGCACATCAATAATTAATAGTTATATTAGTTATATTAGTAATATAGTTAATAGTTATATTAGCTGATAATTATATTAGTTATATTGTAACTTTATTAGTTATAGTACAATATATTATATATAATATAATACAACTAATATTATTTATTAGTTATAGTACATTAGTTATATTAGGCTAATAATTATATTAGCAATAAAAATATACATGTATGTGATACATAGATAAATCAATTTTTATACAATTTATCTCATGTTTAAATAGGAATAATCTCCTAGTTCAGTCAGATAGCATTTGCCTCTTCATTGCGAAAGACTCTAACTCTTTATTAATTTTATCTGAGATTAGATTTTGTAAAAAGAAGAGTATGTTGAAAATAGTGTTTTAAATACTTGTTATGCTTTGTTATCTTTGTAAAAAATGTGGATTCTCTGGAAGTCACCATCATATTTTTTTTTCCATTTTGCTACATACATACAGAGCTACTGTTTCTCATGACACATGCTCTGTAGAACTTTTGTAACACGTTTACTAAAATTCATTAGAATTAGTCGATTTCCAGCCTTTTGGGCCTTCCCTATGTTTCATACCTTATGCCACTGTTTTCACGTGTACTGAAACTGTGACATATTTTAAAAATAAAAATAAATGGCTGAAATTTTTTATCATTCATGAAGTTCAAACATCCACATAGAAATGAAATTCCCCAGGATGTTTTCTCACTCTCACTACCTTAAAAATCACCCACTAATTATTTCCATTTTGTTTGAGGCCAGTTAGCTTAGGAACTTGAATCACTGGACTGATAATGAAATCTGATTCCTATTCAATCTGTTCATAGACCTTGTAAATCTTTCAATACTGTATTAGGCAACATCAGTACCCCTCACTAAATGCTTTCCAAACAAATGTCAGATTACATTTTTTGTCACTGAGGAAAACATTCTTTTAAAAATTAAAGGAAGATGGCATTATGGTGATTTGTTGTAAATAAGAGAAAAGTTGTTAAACCTGAACCACCTTCCATGACATATTCTACTAATTATGTAAACATGAGTTTAAAAAAATGAGTAAAATGATATACTTCATTTCTCTTCAAATTTCTTCAGGAGAAAAAGGCAGCTGCAGGGTACAATTGTCCCTCTACTATTAAAAATGTTGATATGATATGATATTATTGCATTTAAATTCTTGGCTTGAGAAGTAAATTATCTTATTTTGTAGAGAAGAGAAATTATAAAGAAATAGGGAACCATACTAATACGCCCAGAAATAGCTAGTTTTTAAAATATTGGTTTTGATTGATTTTATTTTTAATTGCAAGTAAAATTCTTATTTGTTAACATTGGAGAGTTTTTCAGGCATTCATGTAAGTTTTGTTGAAGAGAGAAGTTGGTGCTTTGTAAAAGGGTTGTTTCACTTTCTGAACTCCTGTTATACAATGTTGATTTCAGAGCATAAGCTTGCTGTACAATGGACACATTGGTAATTATCCATATTTAACTCTTTTTAAGGGTTACTGTATCATTAACATAACTGTCTCTAAACTCAAGTCTTATTATTCTACTCTGGTTACAAATTCTCCATCAAGCTGCACTGTACACCATCTGCAAGTGGCTAGAACTGTGTATTAGACAAGCCACTTTGACAGCATAATGTTAGATTGAATTTAAGTCAGAAGCTACAAAGACCAACCAGAGCACTACAAAACCTGGAAATATATTGAGACCTACCTAGATCATAGCAAGTTTTCCTAGTAGCAACATTAGAAAAGTAAAACAAAAGAAGTAAAATTAATTTTAGAATATATTTTATCTAACACAACATATCCAAAATATTGTCATTTAATATAAAATCAGTATAAAACTATTTGTCAAATAGCCTATATTCTTTTAAAAAATACTACCTTCAACTCCAGTGTGTAGTTTATGCTATCAGCTAGTCACTCTAAGTAGCTGCCAGATTTCAAGTACTCACTAATCACATGAGGCTAGAAGCTACTTATACTGGGCAATCAGGACAAGTGTTTGCACTAATATTTCAAGAGCAAGATTTCATCCCCAGTAAATAAGCAGTAGCTGGTTGAAATTGCTGGCTCTTGATGACTTACTGGAGATCTTGGGTGAGTGGGAAGGAAGAATCACCACATTTGTTTATTTGCTGACTTGTAATAAATATTATGGGGCAAGAAAAAGGGAAAATCAGCTACAAAATATTGCTTGATTCTTGAGACAGGCAAAATGTATTAGATATTCCACAAGCAGCTACCTCACCTTGGGTTGGAAAATTACATAACTAGAAGATACATGGAAAATAGAATCACTTCACGAGTAGTTTGAGAAATGATTTCTTAATCATTTAATTACAGAGTAGTCACATAGCTAGATAACCTTTATCCAGAGATCATTTTTCATTCATATGAACTAATACTTTGGAAAACATATCCCCTTTAGGGTTTTTTAACTGCTATTTTATTTCTTGATCGCAAACTGAAATATAAATTGTCCTAGTAATAGTGCATATTGATTTGGTTTTATGTTGCAAATTTCATTGAGAAAAAGCTAACAGCTTCAATGAAGTTCATTTTAGTCTTTCGGTTGTGCCCAACTCTTTGTGACTCCATGGACTTCAGCATGCCAGGTTTCTAGTCCATCACCAACTCCTGGAGCCTACTCAAACTCATGTCCATGACGTCGGTGATGCCATCCAACCATCTCACCTTCTGTCGTACCCTTCTCCTCCTGCCTTCAATCTCTGCCAGCATCAGGATCTTTTCCAATGAGTCAGTTCTTCACATCAGGTGGTTAAAGTATTGGAGTTTCAGCTTTAGCATCAGTCCTTCCAATGAATAGTCAAGACTGATATCCTTTAGGATTGACTGATTTGATCTCTTTGCAGTCCAAGTTACTCTCAAGAGTCTTCTCCAACACCATAGTTCAAAAGCATCAGTTCTTTGGTACTCAGCTTTCTTTATGGTCCAACTGTCACACCCATACATGACTAATGGAAAAACCATAGCTTTGACAAGGTAAACCATTGTTGGTAAAGTAAAGTCTCTGCTTTTTAATATGCTGTCTAGATTGGTCATAATTTTGCTTACAAGGAGCAAGTGCCTTTTAATTTCATGGCTGCAGTCACCATCTGCAGTGACTTTTGAGATCAAAAAAAGTAAATCTCTCACTGTTTCCATTGTTTCCCCATCTATTAGCCGTGAAGTGATGGGATTGATTGCCATGATCTTAGCTTTCTGAATGTTGAGTTTTAAGCCAACTTTTTCACTCTCCTCTTTCACTTTCACCAAGAAGCTCTTTAGTTCTTCTTCACCTTCTGCCATAAGGGTGGTGTCATCTCCATACCTGATGCTATTGATATTTCTCCCAACAATCTTTTTTTTTCAGTTTCCAAATGGTTATTTTATCAGATTGTTTATAAACATTAAGTTTATCCTTGTTTGCAATCCAAAATAGTTACCTGAAGTTTGCTGTTTGTATGTGTTTTGTTTTTAGTATATGTTTTCTAAACTCTTTGGCACAATTTTCTGGGGGTTCATGTCAGACTGCCACAATACATGTCAGGAGAGGACTTTTCTTTTGTGCTGCCAATTCTGAGCATTTAAATTTTGGTTTGTTGGGTTGTGGCTTTCTTTTGGAGTCTGCATTCTTTATTTGTAACAATGTATTTTTATTTTTTCTATATCCTCTAACTCCAGAGTTTTTTTTTTTCTCCCCCCCCCCCCCACTTCTACATTCACAGTTGAACCATATTATTAGGAAAGGCACCTTGATGAAAAGATCAGGATGGGAGCTCTGACCATTCGTCAGTGTTTTCCCTAAAATTAAAAAAAAGGAAAGAAAAAGGAAAAAAAAAGAAAAAACCTAAAGAGCGTCTTTCCTTTTTTTTTTTTTTCTTCTCTTACATCTCTTGTGCTGCATCAGTAGACCGAACTTCAGTTAGTTTTATGAAATGCAACATCTAACCCCTTTTTTTTCTGGGAAAAAGAAACTGCAATGACTTGAAGTTGAGAATGTGGATACCGCCTCATTCACGCCCAAGTGGAGAAGTCAGACTATGACATGGTGGATTATCTTAATGAGCTACGGGAAGGCTGCTTGGAAGCCTATACTGGAATTGTCCAGGGATTGAAGGGAGACCAGGAGAACGTACACCTGGATGTGATGCTGGTACAGCCCCGAGTAGAATTTATTCTGTCTTTCATTGACCACATTGCTGGAGCTGAGGATCATAGAGACGGAGTAGTAGTTTGTGCTGCCGGACTGATAGGGGACTTGTGTACAGCATTTGGGAAGGATGTACTGAAATTAGTAGAAGCTAGGCCAATGATCCATGAACTGTTAACTGAAGGATGGAGATCGAAGACTAACAAAGCAAAAACCCTTGCTACATGGGCACCAAAAGAACTGAGGAAACTGAAGAACCAAGCTTGATCTGTTACCATTGGGATGATAACCTGAGACCCCCACTGGAAATCTCCAATCTTTTGAAAAACCCGGAAGTGAGGAGTGTGCACGGATGCTGAATGTTTGGGAATGAGAGAATGAATGAGTGAGGCTTGAAAACACACCATATTGAAAATCCTGCCACAGCAGCAGCTGCAGCCACCAACAGCAGTGCTTAGTGAGCTAAGTAAGCACTGACTTTATAGAAAACCATAACATCGGCCATCTTGGAAAAGAGAAAAGCAGTGGATTTACTTGCTTATAAAAAAGGAAGCTCTCTCTTCCCAGGAGAGGCTAGAACTAGCTTTTCTGTCTTTTGGGCGGTGCTGAGTGGAATGACTAGCTTGGGAGAGGAGGGGGGACTGGGTTCAGCTGTGGTCTTTGTTGTAAAAGGCAGCCTGGCCTTTGCTACTGATGAGAAAGATGGAGCTTGAGTCTCAAGCCCGCCTTTGGGGTACCTTTGCCACATGGTACTGGTACTGTATGCATGCCCGCTGAAAGGAGGGTGAGGGACTCTTTACAGTCTGAGAATGAATGTGTGTGAATGAGGCGGTCTCCCAACAATCTTGATTCTAACTTGTGCTTCATCCAGCTCAGCATTTTGTATGATGTACTCTGCATATAAGTTAAATAAGCAGGGTGACGATATACAGCTTTGATATACTCCTTTCCCGATTTAGAAATGCTGTTGTTTGTTGTTCAAATGTTTGTTGTTTGTTGTAGTCTGTTGTTCCATGTCCAGTTCTAACTGTTGCTTCTTGACCTGCCTACAGATTTCTCAGGACACAGGTCAGATGGTCTGGTATTCCCATCTCTTGAAGAATTTTCCACAGTTTGTTGTGATCCACACAGTCAAAGGCTTTGGTGTAGTCAATAAAGCAAAGTAGATTTTTTCTGGAACTCTCTTGCTTTTTCTATGATCCAGTGGATGTTGGCAATTTGATCTCTGGTTCCTCTGCCTTTTCTAAATCCAGCTTGAACATCTGGAAATTCTCAGTTCACGCACTGTTGAAGCCTAGCTTGGAGAATTTTGAATATTACTTTGTTAGTGTGTGAGATGAGTGCAATTGCGTGCTGGTTTGAACAGTCTTTGTCATTGCCTTTCTTTGGGATTAGAATAAAAACTGACCTTTTACAGTCTTGTGGCCACTGCTGAGTTTTCCAAATGTGCTGGCATACTGAGTGCACACTTGTGTCACCTTAGAGGATTTGAAATAGTTCAGCTTGAATTCCATCACCTCCACTGGCTTTGTAGTGAATTCCAAGTAATTAAATGGTAATTTTTCTCCATTTTGTAACTTTCACCTAGTAGCTTTTTTTTCAGTTTATGCATATTTTTAGTTTTAAGGCAAAGTCATTTGTGAAATTATGTTAATGAATGAATATTGTATTGAAATAAAGAGTAGAAAAGAAATCAGAACAACTTAGGTTTAAATTTCATCACTAACATCGTTTACTTTGGTGCATTTGGGCATACTACTTAACTTTCCTATGCCTCAGTTTTTCTATCTACAGAATAATGTTACACTACTTATTCTGCAAAATTCTTGTGTGAACTAAATCAAATGCATACAAAACATCTAACATGTGCAATAGCTTAATAAATGTAAAAATACATAACATACAAAAAAGATCTCAAAATATTGTAATAGTTATTCACATGAATAATGATTTCTGTTTCAGTGTAATTTTTGTACATGAAATATATAAAATTAGCACCAAAAGAAAAACTTGATGAGCACTCTCATAAATAATTTGAGCAGTTTTCATCTAAATTCACAAGTACATCAGCGTTATTGTTTTCATTAGTACTACAGAAATACCAGTCTCTAAATCACATAGAAGAATCAATTTTTATACATCACCACTGAATAATTTCAGTGGAAAGGAAAAGCATTTCAAGGCAATCAGATAAAATCTATATCATTTTTCTAAAGAACTGAAGTTCTTTACCAATGTTATTGGCAAAGCCATTATGCAAAAGGGAGAAAAAATGGAAGGTGCTCTTTTAAATTACATTCATTTTCTCTTTCTTCTTTAGGTTGACCAAGAAAAAGAATCAAGGTTCTTCAGACTTTAACTCCATAGGCTGAATGCTGGGTGGTTTGTTTTTCATTTTTGTTTGTTTTACTATTCCTCCCTGAGAAACACCCCCATACAACTCTTTCTTGTTTTAGTTTTTGAATTTTTATTGCAGTTTAGTTAATTTACAGTCTTGTGTTAGCTTTGGCGGTGAGTGAATCAGTTATACATATACTTATATCCACTCTTTTGTAGATTCTTTTCCCATATAAGTCATTACAGCATATTGAGTAGAGTTCCCTGTGCTATACAATAGGTCCTTATCAGGTATCTGTTTTATATATAGCAGTGTGTATTTGTTAATCCCAACCACCTAATTTATCTTTCCCATCCCCATACAGCTCTCTCTATTCAGATAACCTCCACTTTTCAAAAGTTCACTTCACACTCCTTCCCTTTTATGAAATACCTACATAAGTACTTGTTTTAACTTCAGAAAGAAATCCAAAGAGGATTTTCACTTTTATGGAAAAAAGCGAAAGGCACAAACAATTGGGTTGTGTTTATTTTATAGCAGTGAGCTGTTAGGAGGCAGCGAGCATCTGTGCAGGGGAGTAGCATCACCAACCTTCTTCACCAGGAACTTCATTCAGCATCTCAGCATCAGCAAGCACCATAGCTCTGAACTGCATCTGTGAGTACCTGCACTTTATCTCTATGTATTTTGTGCATCTGTTAGCAAGATGTATCCTAAAGGTAATTACTTCTTCATTTTATACCACTTTGGCTGACTAAAGGTTTCATAGAAATACTCTACTTTCAGATCGTGGGGAAACCTGTTTTGAGTTCTGAATCCATTGCAGTTTTTCTGTGGGGCCCAAACCAAAGTATTTATAATAAACTTGTGATCAACTTACTGGGCTTTCCAGGTTACTGAGCAATAAAGAATTCTCCTGCCAATGCAGGAGCCACATGAGATGTGGGTTCGGTCCCTGAGTGGGGACGATCCCCTGGAGGAGGAAATGGCTACCAACTCCTGTATTCTTACGTGCTGGAATAATCCCATGGACAGAGGAGCCTGGTGGACTACTGTCCAGGGCATCCAAAGAGTCAGACAACTGAACAACTGAGAACGAATGCAATTAACTTACTAAAAATCCTCTAGATCAGCATTTTCAAACTATCTTTGACAAAACAATTTTTTAAAGATCTCAATACATCACAGTCTAACACTTAAAAGAATTAAAATGAATTGCTAAATAAATAAATAAAGGCATATAATATACAAGCCCAAGGTTTTTCATTCATTAAAGCTAACAGGCATATGAAATTTTAATACAATCAGAACAAGCATAACATAAGGAAATAATTAAATATATGAATTATTCATTGCAAATGTGGGTAATCAATTAATATAAAAATACTACATCACTTTTTTTGTCATTCTACACTTATACCTAAATGGAAATGTATGAGGAATATCATGATTCTCCATATTATAGATCTGCAAGCACATTTTAAATAAATATCTCCTATATTAAGAATGAAATATTAATGTGATAAATGAGCTTGCCTTTTACTTACTAACTTACCTAATATAGGCTGCATTAACAATAGTGTTACTAACAGAAAATAATATGTATTGGGTTGGACAAAAGGTTTGTTCAGTGTTTTTCCATAACATGGATCTAGTAGTGCTTAGCTGCCTTTAACTTCATCCAGAACAGTTTTGTTAGATTGTACTGTGACAGCTGTCCTATCAGTATGCCCTTTTTAAAAAACTTATCAAAACTGGTAAATTTTTGCATAGTCATTTTAATATTGAAGATGGAAGGGAAATGACATTTTCAGTAGACTATATTTTATTATTTCAAGAAATGTAAAAACACACTGAAATCCAAAAAAAAAAAAAAAAAGATCTGTGCAGTGTTTGGAGAAAGTGCTGTGACAATTGAATATGTGAAGAGTGGTTTGCAAAATTTCATGCTTGGGATTTCTTACTGTATGATGCTCCACATTTGAGTAGCCCAGTTAAAGTTGATAGTGATCAAGACATTAATTGAGAACAATCAAGGTTATACCACAATTCAAAATATCCAAATCAAAAGTTGAAGATCATTTGCACCAACATGATTATGTTAATCACTCTGATTTTGGGGTTTCACATAAGTGAAGTGAAAAAAAAAGCCGTATTTCCACATGCAATTTTTCTAATTAAATATAGCTTAAATGTTTCATTTTTAAAACAAATTGTGATGAAAGACGAAAAGCAGATACTGTACAATAATGTGGAATGGAAGAGATAATGGGGCTAGCTAAATGAACCATCACTGACCACACCAAACCTGGAGGAGGGTATGGCAACCCTCTCGAGTTTCTTGCCTGGAGACTCCCCATGGACAGAGGAGCCTGGCGACCTACAATTCATTGGGTTGCAAAGAGCCTGACACAAATGAGTAACAAAGTACAACCACACCAAAGACTGGTCTTCATCCAAAGAAGCTGATATTGTGTACACAGTACTAGTGGGAGGGAATTCTCTCTTACAAGCTCCTTCTGGAGTACCAGATGATTAATTCCAACAAGTACTGCTCCCAATTAGACCAACTGAAAGCTGTACGCAATGAAAAGCATCTGACATTGATCAACAGAAAACACATAATCTTTTATCAGGGTAATGCTTGACCACGTATTTCTTTGATGACCTGGCAAAAAAATGTTACAGCTCGGCTGGGAAGTTCTGATTCATCCATTGTATTCATCAAACATGGTGAACATGCCTTTGGATGGACATTTATTTTGGTCCTTAAAAAAATTATCTTAATGGAAAAAATGTCAATTCCCTGTAAGACTGTAAAAGGCACCTAGAACAGCTCTCTGCTCAAAAAGATAAAATTTGGGGGAAGATGGAATTAAGAAGTTGCCTTCAATGGCTTGTTTTGATAAAACTCATAGTAGCAAATCAG